ATACAAACAAATGATGGTAGATTTTATAAAGAATATATGTTGGCTTTAATGCACTAATCAGGGGATTTAAGCACTTACGTAGAAAAGTAATTGGGTTTGATGGTTGTTTATTAAAACATCCTCTTAAAGGAGAGATTTTATGCGCTGTTGGTGGGGATGCTAATAACCAAATGTTTCATATTGCTTGGGCTGCTGTGAGATGAGAGAGTACGAACCTTGGAAGTTCTTTATTGTTCAGTTGATGGTTGAATTGGGAATTAGCATTGGAACTGAAAAAGGATTTACTTTTATTTCTGATGGTCGCAAGGTATTAATATGGTCTTTTTATTTACAAATGATGTTGTTTATTTAATGCTTTGATTGTTTGTTTAATACTTTGTTTTGAATTTTCATTTTGTAGGGTTTGATTGGAGCAATTCATGAGCTAATGCCATATGCTGAGTGTCGAAGGTATGCAAGGCATATCTTTGTCAAGTGGAGGCAAACCAACAGAGGTACTGCTATATATAAACAGTTTTGGGCAACGTCTAGAGCAAGCACATCAGTAGATTTTAATTTATAGCTAAAGAAACTTGGTGGGACTACAAAAGAAGAATTTATGGAAATAGACCTAATTTTTTGATGCAGAGCTCTTTTCGAAATGCATTACAAGGCTGACATACTTGATAACAACTTATGTGAGACTTTTAATGCTTTTATAATGGAGTAAAGATTCAAAAGTATTATTTCGTATCTTGAAACCATTAGACATCTAGTAATGGCAAAAAATGTTAAGATGAGGAATAGGCATGCAGAGAAGTTTAAAAGAGGATTGGTCCAAGAATATGGAAAAGATCGAAGATGCATGGGATGAATTCTGGAGATATAAGATAGTACACACCGACCATAATGGATATGATGCTCCTAACTAGCCAGGACTAATTGTCTTAAAGCACCAGGTATAGGTTTCATGATAAACGTAGCCGTCTTTTTCTTCATGCGTGTGATGATGATTTCTCTTTTCCCTTGTTACATGTAATGATGATTTCCTTTTTAGACTTTTGAAGGAGTGGCCGGGACTTCTGCTTGATAATCACACACAATATAATGACATACAATTTTTTTTGAAATCCATATTATCATAATTGTTTGCTTTTTGTGCTTCCTGTATTTATTTTTTATCTACAAAATTTTCCAATGTGGGATCAATGGGTATTTTTTCATTCATCTTTTTTTATTAAAAAAAACCTAAAATTCATCCATTTAAATAGTTAAAATTTAGCCAGAGAGCCACCCAGACTCCAGAGTGCCTTTAGCTACCCCACCGCTCAACGTGAAGATTTAGATTTCACATAGGATCAGAATCAAAACTTGCAGTTGCATCCTTTAGTTAAATAAATTATAAATCAAACCTTTTATTTTGGAATAATAAATTAGTTGGTCCTTTTATTTTAAAAAATTAATTATTTAATTATTTTTATCTTTTTATGTTATTTTCTAATTTATTTTTCTTTTTATTTTAAAATGTACAAAAAATTAAATTTATATCATAAAAAAGTGGTAACAAAGAAGACATTTTATGAAATAAAATATATTACATTAAATATGATCAATGCTAATTAAAAGATTAAATGATTGATTTTTGAAACAAAATTAACAAATTAATTCATTTGTCAAAAATAAAGGGACTACTATATAATTTATTGACTAATATATAACTTATTCTCAATTACTAATATTGCATCTATCTTGCATGCAACATATTCAAAGGCTTGCAAATGCAGACTTTAATCAAATAAATTGTAAATTAGTCCTTTTAATTAGAAAATAATAATTAGCTGGTCTTTTTCCTAAAAAAAAATTATTTAATCATTTTGTTTCCATTTTATGTTATTTTCTAATTTTTTTAAAAAAATTAGAAAAAGTAAGAATATCATGAAACCATTGATGAAGGAAAAAAAATTTTGATTCACAAGTATGTGGTTAGGTACATATTACAACTCACAAAGTTCATATATACATATAGTTATATATCTTATGCTTCATATGGTATTTTATCATACCGAGTCTATTTTAAATTCACAATATTTTTTTAAAAAATGGTTCATCTATGATTGTTTTATTGTTTAAGCAATTGGAAATTAATATTTTATAAGGTGTATATTGAAATTTTAATGTATTTTATTATTTTTTATGTGATAGTAATGTATTAGAAGTCTTGTTAATTATTTTTTGTAATAAATTCAACTATTACTATATAATATTAAACTATTAGATATGTTATTATTCATTAGTATGTTTAATTAATAAAACTATTAAAAACATATGAATTAGAAGAAATTTATCAACAATTGTTAATACATTCGCGATATCGATTGCCGTAATCGTTGTTTTATTACCTCAATAAGTCGTTATCTATAATAAGTATTAATACTACGCTTACGTTAAGATTTTTATCATATGGTTAGTAGTGCATAACTGGTTATGAATTTTAGTATTATTATGAAAAAAAAATTATTAGTTTATTTTAGCTTCAATGCTCATTTTAATTGATGCTCATGATTTTGTTGAATTTATTATTGTCTGGTTGTATTGTAGATATTTGTGACACAAAGATCATGCAATAAATCATAAAACGCTACCCCTAAAAATAAAAAATAAAAAAAATACTGGCATAGTCAACACCAACACTAAAAAATAACCAAACTTAGCTCATTATATATCGAATGTAACATTTTAATACATTTATCGATCCCGCAACATAGCAATGGTTACTAGTTATAACTATACTATCTTGAGATTAGTAGGGATTAGTGACTAGAGACACTTTTTTATTATTATTATTATTTAAAAAATCCAACTCAAGACTTGAAAAACAGAAAAGGTAGTAATACAAGTCGAATTACATTCATTGACATTTGAGAGCACATATGAACATGAAATTAATATATAATTTGTCTCGTATTGTCCAATATGTGCAAAGGATAATTGCCTATGCCAATGGAATGATGTAAATATGCCACCTATGTTTATAGGATGAATCGTGCGGTGACAAATGATATTGCTAGGCAAACGCGTATGCCGTCTAGTAATTTAAGGTTCTTATGATAATCTGTGCACTGTCAACGAGCGGACCAATGGTTTTGTTTCCTATTTTTGGGCTATGAATCGTCATGCACTTGGCAGGCCTCTTTCTTTGACCTGGAATAGAACGTGCTTCCGATCACAGCGCACAAGTCAACAATTGTGAACTTACTCTCTGGATCCTAAGCTACAACATGGTAATACCTTCACCATTCATAATCACCTAACCTAAGACTGCTTCCACCTTAAAAAATTTAGGTTGCATCGTGGAATCAGAAATTTCCTTATCCTGTTTTAATTGTTATTCCTCTTAATTTTTGCATCTGAAATCTGAAGTAAAAATTTCCATCCTAATTTTTAGTGTCCCCCACGGTGACAGACATAAAGCACTTTTGAATATCCACTTGATTCATTTGGCTAGTTGATAGATTTTTAATTTTGAGATTTTGTATTATTATATTCATGAATGCTAATCATTTTAATTACAAACCCGAATTTGAATCTTTCTTATTGGACACAGATAGTACAAGGTTAAAAAAGCCAAACCTTCTCTGAATTTTATTTTATTTAAAAATTTATCTTTAAAATTTTAATTTATATTTTGACCAACTTTAGCTTTATTTATTTACTTTTAAATTTAGTTCATTTTTTAGTTTTCTATAATTTATTTTTTAAAAATAATAATTACATAAATAGCTTAATGCTAAAAATTATTTAGTGAGGTTTATCTGAATCTCTTTAAAAAATTTAAGAACATTTCAAGTTATTTTTTATTTTTCTCATTTTTTTACATTTTTAATGTTCAATAAATAAATAAATATAATTTTCTACCTTGAAATTTTTTTATTATTTTTTTAAGAAAATGAATTGGATTTTTTCTATTGCATTTAAAATTTTCATATTAAAATACTTAGAATTGAATTTTTTAAAAAAAATAAGAGATGATAGCTGAAAATCATAATATGAATTAAATCTAAATAAAAAAATCAATCTTTAAATTAAAAGTTTAGAGATTGATTTTTAACTAAACTAAAGTTGAGGAGAGGTTTCACTATTTTTACGATAGTATAACTGCTAACCACTATAGTATTTAAAAAAAAAAAAAAAAACTAGCTATATAATATTTTCCTTCACACTTCATTAATTAATTACACCTCATTGCGAATTTGATCCTAATTATTTTACTGATCCATTGAACCACGTGCCTGCAAATGCAAGTGGCCTTTTCGTTGACCATCTTGACAATTGTTAGAAACAGTCTACTCTCGTGATTGTGATACAGACCGCTTCTGCTCTTGCTTTTGTTTTTGTTTTTCTTTCTCTGTCTCATTTTCTTTTTGGTACCTATGAACATCACCCAAGAAAAATAAAAATGATCAGATGAGCCCCATTTCATTTTTCTCTTAAAAGTAGATCTTCCCATTATATAACATGATGATGATTTTGAAAGCTGCTTTGGCTGCTTCCATCTTATAGCGTCATTGGCACACTTAAACCGATCACTATCCAGATAATTAATAAGATTAGTTAGTGCAAGAAATTAATCTTATAGCACTTTCTCTCCTCGTGTGCTTTTTCAAGTTAGCCACTATATGACAATTCAGGAAAACTCGTACTCCACTCGTTACTCAAATGGTCAAAATTTTTTACCCTTAAACTAATATAATCTAATCTTGTCTCTCGTGTGAGTGAGAGACAGACAGGCTACTCCTGGTTCCGGGAAATTGCTTAATGTTCTTGAATACTAGAGATGCTTTTATTTTTTCACGTCCTTGGACTTTTCAAGCACATGCTTATCCTTAGAACTTGGTCTATAAATATCGACTGAGGCCTTGTAAGCTTTGAGGCCAACGAATGCCATTGTTCTCTAAAGGGATCAAACGAGGGGGATATCTATCGTGTCCATTCAAGTTAATACATAAACAAACGAAAAAGACATGGTGAGGTCTCCTTGCTGTGAGAAAATGGGGTTGAAGAAGGGGCCATGGACAGCTGAAGAAGATCAGATTTTGATCTCCCACATTAAAAAATATGGCCATAGCAATTGGCGTGCGCTGCCTACGCAAGCTGGTACGTAATTCTAACAACCCTCTTTGGGTTTTCCTCTAAAGATATCTAGCACGGTCTTGTTGATGAGTTTTGCTGTGGAAGATAGCCCCAAAAGAATACATGAAAGGATTCCATGTATAAAAACTGAAACTTTTGGTATTCTATTTCTGCTGTATGTGGAATAAGAATAAATTACAGAAGGAAGCTGATCTTGCGGATTAATCAAAGCACCATGCCTGAAATTAAATTGATAGCCTATCAAAACAAATTTATGATGAGAGTTTTTAACCAAATTAATTTAATAAGCTATCTAGGAAAGTCCTGGTTATCTCTTTTATTGCATAGCTAATTAATGTTTTATTTTTCTCTTTTGTGTAGGTTTACTTAGATGTGGGAAGAGCTGCAGACTCCGATGGATAAACTACCTGCGGCCAGATATTAAGAGAGGAAACTTCAGCAAGGAAGAAGAGGAAGCTATCCTCAAGTTGCATGAAATGCTTGGAAATAAGTATGCACCACTTGCATGTATATATTAATGTCAAATTCTATATATGAAGTGATTTCTTGTTTGCTCTTGAATTATCCATTATTGGATTTAAATTGCTTAATTCTTCATTATTTAAATTAATTAAATCATCTATAACAAAAAGGGAATTTGTGTTTGGATAGGTTCTCTCTTATTCAATAATTATTTGGTGGGGACTAGAAATTTAAATCAAGGAAACATAATTAAGTGTTCTCTACTTTAAATTCAGTAGGGACTGAAGCCATTTTATCAAAAAAAAGTTCTGCAGTAACTGGACCACTGAAACAGAAAAAAGGAAAAAGAAACGAATTATAACTGGAGTTGAGAGATTTCCTTAATAATTTAGGTCTAACTGCAAGAGGAAATGGTAGCCGATGCAGCTAGATGTCAATCATAAGTATAGTATGGGATTCTGTTTTCGATGCATGATATAAGCTAGTTACTGTTAACAATATAATATGAACTTTTTTCCTTCCGTCCAACTAACTAATAATTTACTCCCACTAAGAAAGAGCATTGCCCGATTGATCCATTTATCTCATACAAATTTTTTTCTTCCTTTTTCCAGGTGGTCAGCAATTGCATCAAGATTACCAGGAAGGACGGACAATGAGATTAAGAACGTATGGCACACTCACTTGAAGAAAAGACTCAAACTAGATGCTGAGTCCAGGCCACAACAATACATCAGAATGCCAAACTGTCGTCTCAACAACACTAAGCTATCAGAATCGGCAAATTCGACTATTAATCCTACTCATTCAGGATCTGAGAGTATAGGGTATGCAGAAATGTCTCCCCAGCCCTCTTCTAGTGATCATTCCTCAGTCACGTACACTTCAGTCACCACCTCAGAAACAAACAGCGGTACCGGCACAGGCATGATAAAGGTTGAAAACGTGGACTTGTCAGAGATTTATCCAGTGATCGATGAAAATTTTTGGTCCGAACCATATGTGGTTGAGAATCCCAGCATGCCATCAAATTTTCTAGACGACTTACAATCTCAATTCCCTTACGTTCCAAATGTTGATGATGGCATGGAGTTTTGGTACAACCTTTTTGTTGGATCTGGGGGGATAGAAGAACTACCAATGTAATTCGTTCAGAGGTATAGCCATTTGGCGGACGAATGAATTTGAATATCATGGGGTGTTTTATTGACCTTCGACATGGAAACTCCCTAGGAAGGGACAAACAATTGGAAAAATTTCCATGGTAGGGTCAATTTGTCCCTAGTCCAAAAGGTGGAATCATTGGTTGACGAATAAAAAAGAAAGCAGGTGTAAATTAAAAGGCGATTATCCCTTAATTTGCTGGCTAATTGAGAGGACATAAAGAAGAACGAAGTGGACTACATGACACGGGAAAAGTTTTGTATAGTGAATGAAGTACGTAGGAGTAAAGATTAAAATATTGATTAAACAAATATTGTGTGACGACCCTTGTTGCTAGGAAAATTCTTACCACCACTATGTCTATCAAAATCGTCTCATTTGGTGGATTATTCATTAAGATTGTTGTGCAGTGAATTCCTGCAAGGTAATTAGTTTGATCTTTTATGTAACATTGTTCGTGATATACTTAAATATATAATCTAGTTTTGACCCATCACATTTTATTCTCTCACCTCTTGGCTCTCTTCATTTGCCAGCCCTCTGTTATATTTGATTATGGAAATTGGTTACTCTGATAAGAATGAACAGTTGGTAATGATTTACTCAAAATTCCTTTTCAGGTTTGGGTCCACCCCGGCGGCTAAACTTAGTGAAGTTACACATCTTGGCACTTAAGTTACCTACGCCTAAAATTCTGAATTTCTAGAATCGATAGAGAAAAATCGGAACTATTACAACAACTCTATTTTGATATGGGTATATGCTCCCTTCTCTAAAATTAATTATGTAATTTAGTTAATTTTATTATGGATTAATCTATATTATTATTTTTTAAGATTGATTCAAACTACAAAATAAATAAGATTTTTCCAAAATAAAATTTTTGAACCGTGCTAGAATTGAAATAGATATTTTGACAAGATTAATATCTATGTCTTATCCTTGGAATGTATTAAAAAGATCGGTTTGGCAGATTTAGAGTGAGATTGGAGAAATTGACATAGTAGATTTGAAGTAAGATTTGCTAAGAAAAAACTCAATTGTTTTTTTCTTTGGTCTTGACTAATAAGTTAAAGTAATTTATCCTAAAAGTATCAATTTTATTCGATTCAAATCTAACCATTCAAATATAAATAACATAAACAATTCTAATGATTAAGAATCATCTTGAACTCACTATAAATGTCAACCTCATATCATTTGAGGATCCAATTTTTTATTTTTATTTATTTATTTATTATTATTATTTTGCAAAAACCTTTGATTTTTTTTACTCAAAACTCTTTAACTCACACATTATATAATATCCAACACTCCATTTATTTAAACTTTGACCATTCATCTATTTGTCGCTCAACTTGCTTCTTATTAGCATTGCGTGCTCCTCATTTCATACCTCTCACTTGCTTATATCAATTTTATTTTATTAGTTGACCGTTGTTTCTAAATGTCATAACATTATGCCTCTCACTACTAACCACTATAAGAAAATCGACAATTAGCGACGGATTTAATTTGTCACTATTTACCTACTTAATAGCGATTGAATGGTGAAGAAACAAAAAATAAATCATATAGCGACGATTTGGAGACAAAAATTTGACGACGAAAAACATTCTATCGCTATTGAATAGTCAACGATAGATTAGCGATGACCTTGTGAAAGGATATCGTACCAAAAAATAAATTCCGTCGCTAAGCATAATATTGGGGTAAGCAACAATGCATATACATCACTATTTTGTTGCTTTTCGTCGACGGATACCATATTGTCGGTAATTAGCAAAAATTGTGAAATTTCATAAACAAAATTGACGATCGTTGAAAATTTAATTAAGCAATGGATACGATCGTTTTGTCATTAATTATCGACGGATTAGAAATTGATCATTCTGTTGCAAATGTTAGCAAGTTTCTCAAACTTTACGGACGAGTTCAAGGGGACGTTTGAAATTCAAAATAACAACGAACACTTACATTCGTTGTTAATTATTACGAGAATAGCGACCAAACATAATTTTGTCTCAAATTTTGGTGAATGTCTCAAACTTTCCGGACAATTCGAGTGGATGTTTGAAATTCAAAATAGTGACGAACACTTACTTCTATCGGTAATTACCGACGGATTAGCGACGGTATGGCGTCCATCTCTAATTCTAAAACCTTTTGCCTTCCAACCTCTTTCTCTTCCTCTTCCATTTCCCCCTTTCCCTCTCCTCCTCTTCTCCTCCAATGCTACCACTACTCCTATCGGCCTCGAACTACGCCCCATGCCACCCCACTCCCTCCCGAGCTCAATCGGTCTTGCAAGGTGCAACTTTCTTCCCGGTATCCTTCGCCACTCCCTCCTCACCTTTGGTAACATTTTCTCTCTTTAGATCTTTAACTTTTTTTAATTAGATTAATTTGGTTAGTTATTAGGTTAATTTTGTTAATTACTAGTTATTTTTTATTTATTAGTATGTCAAAAGTTTGTTAATTAATTGTTAATTTGTTTTTTATTATTTTTGTTCATTGTTATGTTACTATTAATGTGTTAATTTGTTAATTAATTTATAATTTTTTAAATTGTTCGGTTAATTTTTTAATTTATTTATTATTTTCATTAATTTTTAGGTTAATATTATTTGTTAATTGTTAGGTTAATATTAATTATTAATTTATTTACTTTTTTCTTATTGCTAGATTAATATTAACTGTTAATTTGTTAATTTATTTGTTAATATATTTATTATTTTTTTAATGGTTAGGTTAACATTAATTGTTAATTTGTTATTTTATTTATTATTTTTGTTAATTGTTAGGTTAACATTAATTGCGACTTTGTTATTTTATTTATTGTTTTTGTTAATTGTTAGGTTAATATTAATTGTTAATTTGTTAATTAATTTTTTTTAATTGCTAGGCTAATATTGATTGTTAATTTGTTAATTTATTTGTAGGTTTTGTTATTGTTAGGTTAATATTAATTTTTAATTTGTTAATTTATTTATAGGTTTTGTTAATTGTTAGGTTAATATTAATTTTTAATTTGTTAATTTATTTATTGTGTTTGTTAATTGTTAGGTTAATACTAACTTTTAATTTGTTAATTTATTTATATTTTTTTTAATTATAGGTTAATATTAATTTGTTAATTTGTTTTTATTAATTGTTAGGTTAATATTAATTTTTAATTTCTTAATTAATTTTTAATTTTATTTATATATTTTTGGGTTAATTGTTAAGTTAACATTAATTTTTAATTTGTTAATTAATTTTTTTTATTGTTTTTGTTAATTGTTAGGTTAATATTAATTTTTCATTTATTTATTGTTTTTGTTAATTTTCAGGATAATATTAATTGTTAATTAGTTAATTAATTTATTGCTTTTGTTAATTGTTAGGTTAATATAAATTGTTAATTTGTTTTTTATTATTTTAAAATATAATTAACATTTCAATTACGATTAATATTGTAATTAGTTACGATTGATATAATTTAGTTAATTTGACTAAGGATTAATTTAATTATAATTATTTGATTTTATTGATTTATTTTTAATATTAATTATAGTTCAAATGGTTAAATAAATGATTATAATAATTAAATTAATTAGATTTAATTTTGATTATAATATTATAATTTTTTAATTAATATCGATATTTAAAATTTAGTAAATATTTGAATTAGAAATAATTTTATTATGTTTAGTTTATTATAATAATTAAATTAATTAGATTTAATTTTGATTATAAGATTATAATTTGTTAATTAATATTAATATTTTATTTAATTATCGTAGGTTATATTATTTGGTTATGACACATGGTTTCGAGAGTCATGGACATGTATCCTTGATTGACGGCAACCCACGGGGATCGCCAACTAGTGTCGATCGGGGATCTCCCACTCGGGTGTTGTATAGTGTCTCCGGCCATAGAGGTTCCCATATTGGGAATAGAGGTTCTTACACCGACTACACAAGTTTCGGCGTCGGCCAAACCGAGTGCCACTTTTATCGATGTATCCGTCGCTCCGGAGGGCTCCCAAAGTTCATCCGGTCGGTGGACTATTTTTGTCGCTCGTGGACGGTATGTTATTTTTAAAAACATTGTTATCATTTGTTTATTTTAATATATCATTACAATAATTACTTACTATTTTTTTTTATGTTCAACGAGTTTTAGTCCGCCTAATCGAAACTATTTCGCTAAGATAACCAAGATTTTCAAGATGCGAGTGGACGTTGATGTGTCGGCGTGTAAGTCCGTCTCGGATGTCACTAAATAATTTTTCTTTAGTGAATTTAGGATAATGTTTTATAAATTGATTTTATTATATTTATAATATTAATTTATTGTTAATTTAAGTAGTTAATATTAATTATTTGAATTTGTGTAGAAATATTTTTACTAGGATACGACCATCAAGGCGATTGTGAGAGAAACTTGGGAGGCTCGGCAAGGAATTACTCCGACTTCGTCCACAACAATGGTTCGATGTCCGAACGGCCTCATTTTATTAGGCAAGATGTCTAGGACTCGTGGCATCAAGATTTTGCAAGACCCGATCTTAAGGCTCGTTCAAAACGAGGCATCGGGAAATCGGATGTCGAAGACCGAGTGGACCAGGTGCGGGCCTTTTCAAGCATACAAGGGGATCCATCTCTTCGGAAGAGCACACCTATCGCTTAGTAAATTAAACCCTTTTATTATTAATTACATATTTTAAAAAAAATTAATTTGCATCTCATATTTTATGTGGTTCATTTTTTTTGAAGGCAAAATTTAAGTGTGAACCAACGAGTTTTGAGCTATTTCAAGTGACTCATAAACGGAGAAATGGTTCTTTCATTGATCTGCGCTCTCGGCAAACAATAGTAAGGGTTTTTTCATTTCTAAATTTTATATATACAAATGTAATCTAAATTTTATTTTAATCTTTTAATGATATAATTATTTCGATTACACGGGAGCATGTTAAAGGGCTCATACGGGAAGTTATTGCTATGCAACGGGCAAAAGGAATCCTAGAGCCGGAGGTTGACAAGAACGCCATATACCTTAAGGTTGTAAGGGAGAACAAAAAAAGGGTAGATGGTGTAAAAGAGGGTAGATGGTGTAGGCACATAAACATCACATTATCCGTCCTTGTCAAGTGGCATCGGCTCATTCTCTATGTCATCACATTATATCTACAACATGTCTAATAAGGAGATTCGAAAGTTGTACGAGGAGGCAAAGCGAGATGATACAAGGGATGCGAGGCTAGACAAGACGAGCTATAAAACATTGTCACACGAGCAGCAAAGTTCTATACAAGGGTTGTAGTCTTAGTATGATACTCTTACCTCTATGTTGACTAGGCTAGCGCGGATGTTCGAATTGCTCGTAGATCTATCCACTAGTCGAGCCAACATTGTCCCTCCTATCGAGCCACGAAGACAAGGAGAGGGGATCGGATGATCATAATGAGCGACATTTCCTTTTTTTTTTTTTTACATACTAACATATAATTTTTGTAATTATTTTTAAAATTTTTATTTTTAATAAAAAATTAAATTTTAATAATGCATTTTTTCCTAATTGTTAATTAATAATGAGAATATCACAAACTTAAAAAAAAAAACATAATGTTTCGTCTAAAAAAAATCAAACAAAGGTAGCGAGGGATTAACGATTTAAAATAGCGATAACAATAGCGACGGAATATCAACAAAAACATTTAAAGATGAATTTTGAGATGGAATAGCTATGACACAATTCGGGATTGATGACCCATTAGCAACGGAATTTAACTTTTTAACAACGGTATTTTCGTCACTATTTTAGCAACGAATATGTATTTTTGGTCGCTAAGGTTAGCGACATGCGTTTTAGTGATGGAATTATAACCGTCATAAATCTGTCTCTAAATATGATTAGCAACAAATTTTATTTAATTAGCGACAGACTACCAATTTCCTTGTTGTATACATTAATTCTACTTGACTGGTTTGTTGTGCTTTTATAAGTTATAATACTAATTTTTTTGTATTTGATTAATCCGTAGACTAATTATTTAATCAATTTTCGAAACCTTTTACAATATTGACATTTATACTTTACAATTCTTATTCTCCCCTCGCACACATATATCTTGAGGCATCAAGATAGACTTCGAGCCCGACTTGCCCCTGTTGTGCAAATAAAATTCAGGATGACATAATTTTCTTAATCTACCAAAACCTAGTGGATTGATAAACCAATTTCCTGGGCACCATATGAAAAAATCATCCATTGTTGTAGAGTAGCACTTTTTATATACACGGGCATCAGCTTGTGCCCTCTCGTTGATGCGTTTAATCATTCAAATCTTTAAAAGATTAATTGACTGATTGATCCTTGGAAAAAACCTTTTCTTCTAGAAATAATTAATTATTTTCTAGAAACTAGCTAGTGTGAAATGGAGATAATTTCCCCATTCAACTTTTTCTTTGTCCTACTTTTAGCCAAGGAAAAATAAAGAACTTCAGTTAACCTATGGTCCTACATTACATTTAACTTTAATTTAGATCAAAATTCATTTTTGAAGGTCTTGTCATTTCGCACGTTTTCACTTCTACCTCTCTTTTTTCCCCCCTCTCTCTCTCTCTCTCTCTCTCTCTTCCTTTCTTAGCTTCATTAACGACATTCATTGGATTTGATATCGTCATAGATTTTTCCAGTTTCACGTGTTTTCATTTTCCTTAGTGCCTCACCTTCGTTTTTCCAATGCCACGTTATCCCTTCGGTGAAAAAGAGAGGAGTTTAGGTCATGTTTACTTTTAGAAAGTAGCTTTGTAATTTCCCTCCATAATTTTGTTATTTGTTTCAAAAAGATTTTTCCAAAAAAGAAAAAAAAAAAAAAAAAAAGAAAACATGCTTTTTGACAAATTTCCTAAAACGAGAAACAAAGGCCTTATAAAATAACGGGTGAACAAAACAATACCCTTGTTTTTTATAATGAAGAATTTGGAAAACAACTTTTTAATAAGATCATTTACTAGAAGCTATGGTTTTCTATTTCCAAATTTTTTTAGTTAAATGGGTCAAAACTTTTCGAACTTTAAATCATTTAAAATTAAGTTCTTGAACTTCAAGCTTGGTTTTTGAAATTCCTGAATTTTTAATTTTTTAATATTTAGTTCATCCAATGATTTTAAGCTATAACTTTCTCTTTTAAAAAAAATTCAATTCTTGATATTTTGAACTGAAATGTTGTAAATACGTTGAAAAAATCCAATCCATTTTTCAAAATCGAAAAATATATTTACTTATTTTTTTAACACTAAAAATAAAAAATAATTCAAAATGATTTTAATTTTTTTAAGGTACCCTGTGTAAATCTCATTAAATGATTTTTGTAATTAATTTATAATTTTAATTGTTATTGTTTAAGATAAATGACAGGAAACTGAAAAATAGACTAAATATCAAAAAATTAAAAGTTCAAATATCCCAAAAACTAAATTTGAAATTTAAAGATTCAATTTCACATGAGTTAAAATTAAGAAGAGGTTCACCTATTTAACCCCAAAAAAAAAAAAAAAACTGAAATTTTCTATTGGAGTTCTTAAAATGTCATAAATCTACACTAGGATGAGGAGGAAACCAATAGTTGAGAAACTGTACTTCTGTTCATATATGAAATTGAGGACGGACTGGGCTAAGATATATTCAGAACCCAAATCACATCTAACCCTTGCAAATGTCGACGACCCATTACACATTGGTACGGAAAGGATTGTACAATGGAGCCACACAAAAGCATAAGATGTTTAGCTCGAACACCGGCCTCGCAAGAGAATATGGTATAATAATAAATCACATCATAAACATTAGAATGAAAAATACATCCACCTATTTTACCAGTTTAAGTAGAAAAACTAGCCTCGTGATGGAATCGGAGGACCGGACGGCTGGTTATAGTGTTCTAAATACTAATACCTCCACGGTCAGGTTATGGCGCAAATTCTATATGGCAAGCACATATTTCTAACTTGCAGCTACATCTGTTAGTTAGAAGAAATACCATAAAGATGATTGCAAAACAACATTATATCCATTAACATACTTTTCTTTTTCGTTTTCCCTCTTTCCCCTCCGAGTGCAGCAGAGTTTTCAAAATATTTGATCAATTGCTTTCCTAATTCCATGTTTCTGGCTTGATTATACGTGTACAATAATTATATCAATCAAGACAAAACTAAGCAAACAAATGTGCTAATTTAACAACTATATCTTCTATCTAATTTACACATTGTTAACATGAATTATTTCCTAAGATGCACATAGTTTCATGTAGCTAGACTAAATATCATAGAATGCATGCAAGAGCAAGAATAGATAATTTCATATCATACCCGCAAAACCTTTTCAAATTCAACAAAAAGTTAAAACCGATCTTACAGCTTTTGACACCCACTTGGTTTAAATTTTTTTGGCAATAGCACTATGCATATTTTCCTAGCCTGCCATTAAATTGCTGCATGCGTGTTTGCGCGCGTCCTTAAGTACGTTACTTCAAAGTTACAAATGACAATACAAAGGATGAAATATAATAAGCCCAATCCGAATTCGAGTAATTTTACATCAAGCTCCATTATTTTGGGCATCCCGAAAAGAGGATGGGGCATCCAAACAACCATCAGCTCTCCCAACAGGTCCAGGTCACACCACGGATCAACCAGTGGCAGAAGAGAGAGAAAATCTCAGGTACTCATATATCCACATTTCAAATGAGAAATGAGGCCAAAAAACACAACTGTCATACAAGTACCCCCACAACTCATTGGGTATATAAGCAGCTATATGAAATTTCAATCTATGAAAATGCAACAAAAAATCAAACATCCTCATATCTTATGATGGTCTTTAACAAGTAAAGATCCAGAGAGGCAGCTCCTCCACTATTAATGGTTCATCTAGGAACAACAATAGCTTTATTGAAAAATTAACACTGCCTGCTGGTTTGGAAGGTAAGAGGTCCACTGACTAAACACCAGGGAGAGGAAAAGAGCATCTAAGACAGGCACGAGTAAGCAAGAGCCTTCTCCTCAGAAAGCTCATCTGCTGTCAAATCCAGCTTTTTCCTTGAGAACTCATCAATGCTAAGCCCTGAGTCACAGAAAGATCCATAAAACAGTCGTAATCACCCAACATAGATATGAAACTGAAATACTACAACCTTTTCATGCAGAGGCAAACTTGAAAGAAAAGGATACAGTTTTTCTTACTCTTACAAAAATCAAGATGAAAATATCCTTGATATATACACTTCTAACCTTCAATTGATGTAAGTATGGTTAGGTTTGACTCACTACCATCATTACTAGATCTCTTGATCCAGTAAAAATAGATCTTATGGCATATACAAGCATTGCAGCTGACATACCTCAAGTATATTTAGACCTATTATCAAATGTAGTGGCAGCATAAATAGAATGCACTATGTCAATGATGCCTTTTTCATCACTAAAAATCTTACTTTACTATGCCCACCGCAACTAGCACCAGGGAAAGGAAAATATCAAATTTGAAAAGAAAAGGAAAGTGCAATGCACAAAATACAAGAGAGCAGGCTTTTACAGATCCAAAAGTGCTGCATCATAAAAATAAATGCAATCGCCAGCAAACACCATAAACACATTGCCAAAATGCCATAATACAAAATTAAAGAAAATAAATAATGTATGACTCTATTATAATATCACATGTTGGCATAAAATCATAAAGTGTGAGTGGTATATGGCTATATTTTATTTGGTACATCCTTACCTTGAACAATTTTCCACTCTCCATTCTGACAAGTTACAGGGAAGGAATAAATGAGACCAGCTGGTACATTGTATGAGCCATCAGAGTACACCCCCATGGAAACCCAGGTGCCCTACAATAAAGAAAAAAAAAAATCAAACCAACACCAAATTTAAACAATTTAACAACAGAAAGCAGGTAGAGCATTGTCAAACCTCGGGAGTTCCAAGGACCCAATCACGAATGTGGTCACAAGCAGAGCTAGCAGCAGATAGTGCACTTGATAGCTTTCGTGCTTTGATGATTGCAGCACCACGTTGTTGAACAGTTTTGATGAACTCTGCATTCAACCTTGAACCAAGAAATACAATGAACATTGTGCTCAACTTTCCAAAATAACTTAAATACAGTTTAAAAAAAGATACAATCATTAATACCACTCATCATCCTTAACAAGCTCCCTCACAGGTTTCTCCCCAGCTGGAGTCTTAACAGTTGCATGGTTGACATCAGGGTACTGAGTAGATGAGTGATTCCCCCAAATAATCACATTTTTTACGTCAGAGACTTGGACATTCAACCTCTCTGAAATTTGACCAAGCGCCCTGTTATGGTCCAGTCTTGTCAAACAAGTAATGTTTTTCTCAGGAATAGATGGAGCAAATTCCTTTAAAATCAATGCATTGGTGTTTGCTGGGTTAGCAACAACCAAAACCTGAACAAAGCAAAAAGAAACAACAGTCAGCTAAATACTTCAAATGAAAGTTAAGTCTGAATTGCTCAAGAAAAGCAGCTCTAACTGCATTTCGTTCCATACACAAAAAGGCAGCTAGATTCCAGGATGTCTCAAAATGGTAATGATACATAAATTTCCAATATAATTCAACAGATCCCATGAATTGCACCCAGCAGTAAAACATGCATTTCTATTTGACTATATACAATCTAAAGATCATTTCAACAAAATATCCAAACACGCAGCTTTTTTTGTTATTTCTTTGAGGTATGTTACCTTGCAGTTTGCAGCCGCATGCTTCTCAAGAGCAGAAGCCTGTGACTTGTAGATTGACACATTTTTAGACATCACATCTTTTCTCTCCATTCCTTCCTTCCTTGGGAAGCCACCAACCATTACAGCAATGTTAACCCCAGTGCAACCCTCCACAACATCAGTTGTAGCAACAACACCTGTTGCAAAATTTTTTGTCAGATCTCCCGATCATACAACTGATTTCTCACAATCCATGATGTCACATAAAAGAAATATTCTTTAACAACCTGTCTAGGCATTTTGAAAAGAGACATGAAGGGCAGATACCTTTAAGAAGAGGAAATGCAGCATCTACCAACTCCATCTTCACACCATTCAATGCCTCGGCTGCAGGTGGGATATCAAGCATGTGAAGGATCACAGGCTGGTCAGGACCAAGCATCACTCCCCTAGCAATCATGGGGACAAGGGCATATCCAATTTGTCCTGCAAACCAAATTACATTCTTTTTAACAACAAAGACATTTAATTCAGATAATTCCAGATAAAATCTCATCACAAGCTACTTTAAAACAAAAACAGCGGATTTTACATATTCACATTATTGCAGTATGGTTTATGAATAAAATAGCTATTCAACTACAAGCACATTAAAGAACTGAAATCAACAAAACGAGAATTAAACGTAATTTTCCAAGTTCAAGAGTTGACAAAAACCAGTCGAGATAGAAAAATAGAATCGGTAGGAATTCAACTCGAAATATGCGTCATTACCAGCGAACTTCACCGCTGGTAATCAATAATTTGATTTGAAACTTAAAACATAAATATATATATATATATATATATATATATATATATATAACAGATCTACACGTATCAGGCCACCATCAATTGAATGAAGCGTACAGCTCAACTAAAAGAAACTCTAAAATAGTTTCGCATAAAACAGTAACCGGTCATCTCCTAGTTACACGAAGCGAGTAATAATAAATGAATCAAATAACTTCCACTACAGAACTCAATCCATTTACAATCACAAACTCAAGAAGTCTTACTAATCATGATCAAGTTCATTAGATCTAAATCAATAAAATCAAGATCTATAATTTCCTGAGTCTAGCGTCAAATCTAATCAAATCAAAGTCAAAACAGCCGTCAGAGATAGATCTGAAGACGACTTAAGAGTGTGAGTGAGTAATTTTTTTTCTTCTTTTTTTTTTTTTGTTATAGTACCTGCAGCTCCAGTAACGAGAACGCGAACTGGTTCCTTTGCCATTGGTGAAGATCGAGAGAGAGCGAAAACGATTCGTTTAAGATCGCTTGTTGATAACAGAGCGAGAAAGACAGTGAGAGTGGTGAGAGGATATCCTTCGGCGAGAGAAAAAGGTAAAGACAGAAGGAGATATTTATCTGTGTGGAAATGGATAGTGCCAGGGAGTAATGTGATATGTACAGGGTGATTAATTTAGGAGGACCGACGTCGTTTCGTTGACCTTTTCAATTTAAGTGGTGGATATTGACTCATTAACCCTATGTTTGGATAATTCCTCTTGGGAGGAAAGAAAAGAGAAGAAAGAAAGTGAGAGAAAAGAAAAGAGGAAGGAAAAAAATTATTTTTCACTTGTTGTTTGGATAAGAGCGGAAAGGAAAGGAAAGAAAATACATTTCCTTTGTTTGGAAGAGGAAGAAAAGAAAATGTATGATTGTATATTTACTATAATACCCCTGTGATTATATTTTTATATTTAAATACTTATAATAAATTTGTATGAATCTTTTTTTCATGAAAATAACACAAATGATAATAAAATAAAAATCTAGCATATAGCATATATCCGAAATGATAAGATAGATAATGAATCGTCTCCATAGAATAATTGATAATCGTTTATTAATTAATTAATCCAATAGCCAATTTAGATTAATTATCAACATAAAATTAATTTAAATATGTATAACATGTATTATTATCTATGCATATAATAAGTTAGTTGTTTTTACCAATTATTTTCTCCGTTTTTTTTTAGAATAACCAATTACTATTTAGCAATTAAAAAAAAGAGTATATGATAACATTACGAACAATCATGAAAAGTCAATTGAATCACAAAAAATGAGACGAATCACGAATAATTTTTATTTCTTCATGTTGTCAACAAGCATTTTACTTTTCCGAACTTCGGAAATTTTTGCCGATGTAATAGCCTAACGGGAGTAACAAAGCAATTATCAATTGAACTCGTTTATCATCAATATTCGATATTGATAAGTAGAAAAAAGAAAAAAAGTGCATAGTACGGACCATCCAAGTTTCCCATGCTACCGATTAAATCTACTAGACAAAATGGACGAGTCCATATTTTTTAGTAATTTAGTAATATAGTACGAGGGGCCCATATTTCTTTCTTCCGCTACCGATATAATAATCTTTCATGCAATGAACGGTCGGATCTCCAAGCATAGCTGCAGCGGTCGGAACAAAAGCGACAAAAGCAATCACGACGACGAAGCAAGATTAGTCTGCAGCAATCGAAGAAGGAGAAAAATCATAACCAACATCAAGAACAGTCATTGGAGGAAACAAGCAAGAAATGCAAGAAAATAAAATGTTCGGGCTCAATATGCGACGAACACAAAAGTTATGCACGGGCTCGAAACTGACTTCGATCTATCCCAATTTTCGGTCTCGAGCTCTAACAAAAGGGAACGACGGCAAGGGAGAAAATGAAAAAAACAAAAAACAAATGGCTTTCCTCCCGTTTTTCTCCTCGTTTCCTCCCAATTTTGAGAGGAAAATGGGTCCCACCAGTTTTGCATTCTTTATTATTATTTTTTTCATTCCACTCGCTTTCCTTCCTCTTCCCAAACGAGAGAAACATTTCTTTTCACTCCACTTTTCTTTCCTCTCTCCCACTTTCCACTCTATCCAAACAAAGGGTAAACTTTAAATAGAGTTGCTACAATGCGCATGGGGTGTCCGACGCATATGCCGATTAGATTCGTTAAATATTGATGATGATGAGGTAGAACATTGAGATTCGTGCATTAAATGACGACACGGACCATGCCCGATGAGAGGGTGGGGGAAGACCGTCAAAAAGATGTTAGCGACTAGTGGTCCTTGGTTGGGCTGGCGTTGGTTGCGCCTCCCAAAGTTAAAATAACCTCAAACATACATGACCGGGGTTAGAACATGGTTTTAAGTTACCATCAACCGCCCCATCGCGATTTTACCAAGCAATTATTATATTATTATAATTTTATAAAACAACTAAAGTATTTTTACTATTCACACATTCATAAAATATTATTTATTTAGATTTGTATGTAGTATACGAGTAATATTTTTTTAATTTTTAAATTGTATTGACTTATTTATATCCAAATTTTTTCTAATATTACATTTTACTCTTGATGTTTTCAAAATTTTTATTTTAATTTTTAAATTAATTTATATTGTAATTTTGATCTTTAAATGTAGAGAGAGGAGAGAAAAAGTCATGATTATCTCTTATTTTATTCTTTTTTTTTTTTTGTGACTGATCTTGTATTTATATTGTTTATCTTGATAAAGAGAGTATGGTGATGGTAGTTTTAACTCATAAAATAATTAAAAGGCATAGATTGGAAACTAAAAAAATGAATTTTTTGTTTTGATATATATATATATATATAATGTTCATTGAAATGCTTTTTATTTTATTTTTTTGCTTTTTTTTTACCTTTTTTAATTTTTTATTATTCAATTAGCTACAAAAATGATAGAAAATCATTCATTATTCCACACAAATTGATGATGATGAAATATATATGATATGGTTTCAGAATTTAGAATGAATAAATATATTAAATTATATTACTCTTATTACTTAAAATTGATTTTTTTATGAAAATTCTCGTAAAATTAATTTTGTATATGTTGTATATAATTTTATTTATTAATAAATATGATTTATTTTTCTCTATGTATAGATTTTGGAATAAAATTTTTGAATATAATTATTTAACTTTTTTTTAATAAACATATATATTGAATTATATTAATTACTTTTAACCCTTAAAATTGATTTTTTTTTAATTTTTCTTATAGAAATTATAATGAAATTATTTGATATTTTTATATAATTTTATTTGTTAATAAATATGATTTTTTTTTTGAAGAATTCACAAAATAAAAGGTGGTTGAAATTAGGTGCTAAAACATATTAACAAGAAGTCATATTAAAAAAAAAAATAGATAAATAAATAAATAAGCCTAGACTAATAAAAGTACCATCCGAAGATAAGATTGTGGTGCCCAAAATTTTGCTGCTTGGATATCGGTTCTACAAAATAAAAATAAAAATTAAATATGCCACATTAATTAAGTAATCCCAAAACAAACAAACTAATATAACAATTTTTTTCCTTAAGAAAAAAAAGTAATAAAATTAATAATCGCAACTAATTAACAACTAATAAAAATTATAATTATAATTAAATTATTATTGTAACACCCCTAACTAGGACCTCGAAAATATTACTCGTCGTTGGCTTGCATGCGGTTGACTTATATTCGAAGTGCAATGAATGCAAGCCAACAAGGTATTATGTCTTTCCTATGACATTACTAGATATGGACTACGCTTGTGGAAACCTATAATCGACAAATAGGTCCTAAATTTCAGCCTAAAATGAACTATAAATTTTTTACGTTTTATTATTTTATTTAGGTTGCTTGGATTGAAAAGACTGGATCTCGTGACACTCGATTTTTCCAAATTTGTTTTCTACTAATTTGTAGAAATTTATTTATAAATCATCTATTATTCAATATTCAATTTCTTTCATGCACATTAATTGCTATTTACTATTATTATATTAATTACTTTTACTTGCTTAAAAAACTAATATATATATATATATATATAGAGGATTATATTAATTACTTTTACTCGCTTAAAATTGATCTTTTTGATTTGTCATTTCTTATAGAAATTATAATGAAATTAATTTTATATTTTTTAATATAATTTTATTTGTTAATAAATATGATTTTTTTTGAAGAATTCACAAAATAAAAGGTGGTTGAACTTTGGTGCTAAAACATATTAACTACAAGTCAAATTAAAAAAAAATAGATAAATAAAAAACCTAGACTGATAGAAGTATTATCTCGAAGAGAAGATTGTGGTGCCCAAAGTTTTGCCATTGGATATCGGTTCTACAAACTAAAAATAACAAATTAAATATGCCACATTAGTTAATTAATCCTAAAACAAACAAACTAATATAACAATTATTTTTTTCTTAAGAAAAAAGTAATAAAATTAATAATCACAACTAATTAACAACTAATAAAAATAATAATAATAATTAAATTATTATATTGACTACTAATTGGCATAAATATGTATATGATAAACAACAACTAATTAACTAATAGAAATACAAAAAATAAAACTATTATTAAAAATAAGAAAAAAATGCAAAAAGAATCTCAACTAATTAAGTAGCATAAATTAGTATATATTAACACAACTAATTAATAATAATAATTAGATTTTGAACTAATTAACATCAAATAACATACATTAAACTACAAATAATAACTAATAAAAACAACAATAATAAATATTATTAACTGAATTACATCTATAATTTTTTAAAAAAAGAAAAGAAAACAAACACTTATCGAGAGAAGAGGATAGGCATCGAAAAATGAAAGGCGAAGGAGGCACCATCGTCAACCGTGCAAGGTTCTTGGAGGAAGATTGTATAGGCGATGTGGGTTTTTGAGTGAGAGAGGAGAAGAAAATGGCGAAAGAAAGGGGCCATTGCTAGATTAAGCTTCTTTTTTTGTGATGGACGTTATTTTGTCGTTATTCACAAATCTTCGTCGCTATTTGAATTTATCAAATTACGTGCCACTCTTTTTCTTATTAGCGATGGCTTGTTACATCACTCGAATTTATCATAAAATATTGACCAACCACAATCCGACATTGTATTGCGATGGAATAATAGTCGTTAATGTAAATAAGTCATTGTTAAATCATCTCACATTTGTGGAAAATTAGATTTAAAACTAATTAACATCAAGTAAACAAGTCACCATTAAATCATCTCACATTTACGTTACTTAATTAGTTGAGATTTTTTTGCGGTTTTTTTCTTACTTTTAATAATATTTTTATTTTTTGTATTTCTATTAGTTAATTACTTGTTGTTTATCATATACTTATTTATGCAAATTAGTAGTAAATATAATAATTTAATTATAATTATTATTTTTATTAATTGTTAATTAGTTGTGATTATTAATTTTATTACTTTTTTCTTAAGAAAAAAATATTTTTTATATTAGTTAGTTTTTTTGGGAATAATTAATTAATTAATGTGGCATATTTAATTTGTTATTTTTATTTTGGAGAACCGATATCCGATGGCAAAACTTTGGACACCGCCATCTTCTCTTCGAATAGTACTTCTATCGGTCTAGGTTTTTTATTTATCTTTTTTTTTTTAATTTGACTTGTAGTTAATATGTTTTAGCACCTAAGTTCAACAACCTTTTATTTTGTGAATTCTTCAAAAAAATCATATTTATTAACAAATAAAATTATATAAAAAATAAAAAATTAATTTCATTATAATTTCTATAAGAAATGACAAATCAAAAAGATCAATTTTAAGCAATAAAAGTAATTAATATAATCCGATATATATGTTTATTAAAAAAATAAAATAATTATATTCAAAATTTTTATTCCAAAATCTATACATAGAGAAAAATAAATCATATTTATTAATAAATAAAATTAGATACAAAATATAAAAAATTAATTTTATGAGATATGTCGGATTGTGGTTGGTCAATCTTGTACGATAAATTCGGTGACGGAACATGGCATCGCCAATAAGAAAAAGAATGGCACGTACTTTGGTAAATTCAAATAGCAGCGAAGATTTATGAATAGTGACAAAATAGTATCCATCACGGGGAAAAAAAGAGCTTAATATAGTAGTAGTCCATTTCTTTCTCCATTTTCTTCTCCTCTTTCACTCAAAACCCATGCCGCCTATACATTCTTCCTCCGAGAATCTCACACGGTCGACGATGGTGCCTCCTTCGCCTTTCATTTTTTTTTGCTTATCCTCTTCTTCGATAAGTGTTTCTTTTCTTTTCTTTTTATATATATATATATATATATATATATATATATATATATATATATATATATATATATATATATATATATATATATATATATATATATATATATTATTGCATTTACTCTTACAAAATATCCGGCACAACTAATTAATAATAATAATTAGATTTAAAACTAACTAATATCAAATAACATACATTATACTACAAATAATAACTAATAAAGACAATAATAACAAATATTATTAACCGAAATTTAATATATATATCTTTTTTTAAAAAAAAAAAAACAAAACAAAACAAACACTTATTGGAGAAGAGGATAGGCATCAAAAAATGAAAGGCGAAGGAGGCACCGTCATCAATCATGCGAGGTTCTCGGAGGAAGATTGTACAGGCGGCGTGGGTTTTTGAGTGAGAAAGGAGAAGAAAATGGAGAAAGAATGGGCCTATTGCTAGATTAAGCTTTTTTTTTTTTTTTTTTTTGTGATGGACGTTATTTTGTCGCTATTCACAAATCTTCGTCGCTATTTGATTTTACCAAATTACATGCCACTCTTTTTCTTATTAGCGATGGCATGTTCCGTCACTAAATTTATTGTAAAACACCAACCAATCGCAATCCGACTTTGTATTGCGATGGAATAATAGTCATTAACGTAAACAAGTCATCGTGAAATTATCTCACATTTGTGGAAAATTAGTGCGTCAAATCTTATCAAAATTAGGAGCAACTAATATCATTCGTCGCTAAATATCATTGCAAATTAATTGGTAATTTGTCACTGAATTAACAGTAAAAAGTTTACCATGAAATTCAACGATGGCAGTGTTGTGTTGTTAAATTTTTGTCGTAAAACCATTGATACTCCGTCAATGTTAACCCAAAATATTTGAAAATTGATAAGAATTGTTACTTATTCTCTAATTCTTCGTTGTATATTGATAATTTCATGTCCATCGCTGTTTTCATTGCTATTTAACACATTTTTTTTTTAGCTAAAACAATTAACAAGAATGACTATAACAGCAGCAATTATGTAGCACTAATGCGTCCTGTGTGTGCATGCACCTTGTCTGCGGAAAGGCCATTTTCAGGTGATATTTCATTTTATTTTAACTGCAATGGCTTCAATAGAAAGCAATTGAAGGTATTCAAAATAGACTTTACTCACTCCTTGACGACACAATTCTGTGACTACAAACGCAAAAATCAATTGTCCTATAACTTCAAAGGAATTCGCATAAAAAAGGTTTTTGGAATCACTTGGGTGACGGCCTAATTCCTCACTCAATGCAAGTTTTGAGAAAATGAAGTTTGAGGAGGATGAATTCCCATGTGTGTGTGTATATATATATGTAGTTCTATAATCGTTCACTTATCTCAGACTCTGGAAATGGTTGTCTAAGAAAGAAGGGGAAAAACGGAGAAACAAATAAAGAATGGTAGTATAAGATGTTTGAATTATTGGAAATCAATCGCACAATCAAAGGTTTTGTACCTCAAACCAATTGAAAATACAATACAATTCAAAGAAGATGCATAATGACTCTTACACAAACTATTTTCCTATCCAAAATCCCACAATTCTGTAGAACAAATCTTCACTTATTGAAGAAAACAAGAATCTCTCCCAAATTATGTACCTAGATAAAATCTCCAAGCTCTGGCTCTCGCCATAATTTTTTTTTTTGGACCAACTATAATACTTTCCTTTTATTCACACTTTCATGCTCTGTTTTGATAAATAGTATGAAATATGAACATAAAATAAAGAATAAAATGACCCTAGGCACTCCTAGCCAACCTCTCCTCAAATTCAAGAATTGATTTCTCCTTTTGAAGCTGAATCACTTCACGAAATTTGTATATAAATTCTTCAGCTCTCTCATCCACTGGCCGCAGCTGCGGTGATCTAGCAACAACTTCTCTCCATGCATCTTCAATGCTATACACGCTCTTCTCGCTTGACTGGCCTTCTTTTCTTGGCAAAACTTTCTCAACAATCGCATCTTTACCTCTACAACTTGTTTCTGCATGTGCATGGAAATGCCTAGCAGGCATTAAGCTTGGCTCTGCGGCATAGAGGTGGTCTATGTATATAGGTGAGACGGTATTATGAAGCAGGGTTTTATTGTTGTAAAGATGGTTATACTGGCGGGTGCGAGTACATCTTGGTTTTGTTATGGAACGTTTCTTGAAGGGAAGAAAGAAGTGACGAGAGCAATAAGCGAGGAGGCGATTGGTGCTGGTTTTGATAACCTTGACTGCTTTAGAGAAGTTGAGATTATGGAGTTTTGATTCCAGTGCGTTGGTCAGGCGTTTCAACGCTTTCTTGGCTGGTTGAAGCTTCTTTGCTAGGCTTGAATTGGACATTGAGTTTCGAATCTTTCTCACGTATATGCAATAATGGTGGAAAAAAAGGAGATCAGACTAGTAGGAAGAAGATTTCTAAAGAAGGCTTTGCATAGCTAAACGGAACAACTTCGGTGTATGGTGCCTTGGTGCTTATGGAGCAAGGCTTGATTATTCCCTATATAAATATATGTGGTTCTAGTTTCTCTGTATCTTGGTGCAAATATGCCCATATATTGTTCATTATATAACCGAAACGCCACTCCTCACTCAAGGATATGCTAAAAGGATTAAAGACACTAGGATGGGATGGCAGCAAGCAATTAGACTTGAGAATCCATGTAATTACGTAATCAGGCGAGTCTTTAACTTTCGGCAATCGTGGTGGCCCTAGTTGGAGCGTTCTTAGGTCCTAAGATTGCACCAGATCGAGTTGACTAAAAGCTGGAGTCCTGCAAAAGCTCAAATGTTTTAGTGCCATGCCACTTCAACGTGGGCTCGGACGCCATTATAGTTATACATGGCGGATAATTTCGTTGTACTAGTTGTAAATAAAAGGAGGTTTTTTTTTTTCTTATAAAATAAAAAGAGGTCGTTGTCTTGTAAGTTCTGCAAAGCATGTGTTCATCTAGGACAACTTTATGCATACAATTTTTTTTATACAGCACATATAATCATGATCTTGATAATTATTTGTTTATGACTAGTCCAATTTATGGGTGAATCATTAGTTCTGTCAATGTTAGATCGGATTTTCTTTGAGTTCAGCATTTTGTACAGTTCAAAAAACTTATTATTTAATTTAGGGTTAAAATAAACTGAATGGAGTTGAGATGAAGGTGATAAGCTTTAAGCTTTTTTTTTTTTTTTTTTTTTTTTTTTTTTTTTAAAAAAAAAGAATGCATATCGTATGCTGCTGAAACTTTTCATTTTCACTTCCTTTGTTACTGCAAAAAGAAATTAAACTGATTTACTTTAACCTCAACTTTATTTCTTTTTTTGAAGCCCTTTTTTTCTCCTAATTTTCTAGTGTTAAAAGTGATGAGCTATTTTTAACAGCATTTACCTGTCCCTAACAGGTTAACCAGCCTACCATTCATTCAAAAAGCAAAATTAATGAATAGATTATTTAGAATCAATAAAAATCAAACAGGGCAATTGAGCTGAGTTTGATCATTTATAGGATTAATGTTGATGGAGAAACGAATACCACCTCATTTGGAATCCAATTTTTCATATACAATTTGAATAACTATCGTATTCCCAATTGATTTTGGAAATGAACCAAACATGGCTTTAATTTAATTTGCTAGACATGGTCCACCCTTCTTTTCCCTTTCTCATACACTTTGTGAGGATATCGCAAGATGTCCGTACGCTATTCTTTCCAACTTGTAAAGATTGCTAATTAACTCGCTTTTCCTTTTCATGATTTTTGCTAGGGAAAAGCAATGGCCACCATCTCCCTAGCTTGCTTTCCAGCTTCTTGGACACTTTAGGAAGCAATTTACACCTAAAATGAGTACATATTTATACTATATAATGAAAATATATAGAAGATTTCTCTTCTTAGGATATGTGACATTTTTTATGCGACATTACTATATATATTTGTGTGCGCGCCCGTATGCGCGTGTGTGACTTTTTTATATGAACCTTTTGAAAACATTTTTTTGTTTCATTTTTCTATACTCTACATAAAAAAACCATATTTTTACCAAAATGAAAAGATAATTACATGAATAATCTGTCTTTAACAGCTATGTCATTTGTTTTAAAAAATTCAATGCTATTGGGACACATTAGATGTTAAAATTCCGACATTGTTACAAGTTTCGAGAAATTTTATGATACTCGAGAAGTAACTCAGTGGCATATACGGTAGTATTCTATGAACTCATTTGGAGGAGAGAGACGGACACACAAAAAGAGAGAGAAAATTTAAAAAAAAAATTGAGCGAATGTGAAAATCTTCTTATCATTTTTTGTGGGTCCGGATATAATTTTATGTATCTATCTCTCTCCGCCAAATAAATCCATAAAGTAGCTACTCGTACATACCATTAGTTATTCCTTGAGTATTAAAGTTTGAATTAAATTATCTAACGTTGCTACAAGTTTCAATTAAATGTGATAATGATAATTATATATAGATAATGACAATATAAAAGTCGACAATGATAATGAATAAATAATTATATTACTTTATCACTCAATATTGGAGTTTGCATGGTAGACATTAGTAATGGTTTAGAATAAAAGCATACACAACCTTATTTAGGAAATAAAAAAGTCACCTCTCTATTTTTTTCTCTTAATTTTATTTCTCATTCGTAATATAAATTTTTATTTATGCATTCCATTTTTCGTATTTAATTATTTAGTTAATTTATAATAACAATCATAATAATTTTGTAGGTGAAAAAGGAAATGTCAAGAGATCGATTTCGTTATTTATAAGCTCAATATTTTTTTTCTTTTTTTCTTTTTTAGGTTTTGCGAGGCGAAAGAAAAGTTGTCCAAAAAAAAATGTTTTGAACTAAAAATAATTTTTTTAAAGATATTTTTAAATGATTTTAATGTTCGATATCATTAAATAACACATAAAAATATCAACTTTTATGTTTCTAAATTTAAAAACATATTTATTACTACCATGCAAATTTGCTTCCAATGCAATTCAATTTTTTTTTTCCTCAAGAGAGATGGGGTAGTAGTGAAGGCCGCCTCATGAAGGGACCCTCCATAAGGTGGTATATGGACACTTTTCTTTAATTGATTGGCTATAAATTTAGCACGACCACCAATATTACTACGAGAGAGAGACGAGAGAGATTAGGCTTTGAAGGCATTGGAAAAATATAGAGAGGCAAGTTAGGTTCGTTTGAGATGAACTTTTATTGATGTCAAAATAAAATAAGACGAAATTTTTTTTAATGTCTTTGTACAATTAAATATTTTCTTTTTGTTATAAAATAAATAAAAATAATAGGAGAATTGAGAAAAGGATGACAAGAAAATGAAACCACTATAATGTGAATATAAGTGATAAGAATTTCAAAGTTTCTCTTATTCTCTCTAGAAAACTTGTACGTCAACTAATAAACAATCAAGCCTATTTATAGGCTTCAAAATTGAGGAGAGAATTGGAAGAGACTATGAATAATCAATTGCATCACTCTTTCAATTTCTCATATTGAATGATGAATTGAATTATATTAAGAATCATGAGTAGTGGGGATATGAAAAGTAGATGAACATGATGATAGATATTCATTATTTCATAACACTCCCTCTTGAATGTCTATTGTACAAAGAACATGCCTTGTTAAAACCTTACTAGGAAAAAATTCGAGTGGGAAAAAAATCCTAATGAAGGAAAAAGAGTACAATATTCCTTGCACACATTAATCTCTATTTTGGTCTCCCCTATTGAAGGCATTATTTAAGATCTCTCTAAGATGATGCATTTCAACCTTTTGAATCATCTTCTCAAAATTTATGGTAGGTAATGCTTTAGCGAATAAATCTATTGGATTATCACTTTGATGGATTCTTCCTTCAATGAAATTATGCAAGCGAGCATTATCCTCATATGATATTGTTGAAACTTCTTTTCTTTGGTAGATAAATTGCAATTCTCTCGAATACGATGGATCGTTGATCTTAGTCAAATACATTCTCGACTTGCCTTGTGAATTGATACTTCGCATGATTTGAAGATATGACGAGCTATAATTTGCTTTATAGAACACAAAGACATAGTTGGATCTCCATATATAAATATATAACCGGTTGTGATCGAGCTTTGTGTGGATCGGATAAATAACCTATATCCGCATAACCAATTAATCTTGTCTTTGATTTATTGGAGTAATATAAGCCCATATCAATTATTCCTCAAAGATAACGTAGTATATATTTAGCTTTATTTTAATATCTCCATATTGAAACAAAACTATGACTTGCTAATAAAGTTATAGAAAAGACTATCAAGTTGGCTATTATTAGCAAGATATATCAATGCATCGGTGACACTAAGACGTGGTACTTCGGGATCAAGTAGTTCTTCATTATCTTCTGAAGTTGAAAATGATCTTTTTGGATATTAAGTGAATGAATTACCATCGGGCTAGTCAATGAATGATCTTTATATAGATTTATTGTAGAACTTTTTTCTATAAAAATTGATCGATGAATAAAAATCTCATTCTCTTAGTGCTCGAACTGCAGGTCGAGATAACATTTTGTTTTCCGAAGTTATTCACATCAAATTCTCTTTTAGATAACTTAGGACACTTGGAATCTCTTCGGAAGTTCCAATAATATTTAAGTTATCAACATATACAATAAACCCCTTTTCAAATAAAAACATATGAACAAACAGAGTTATTTTTTTTATAACTTTCTTTTAATAAATAATCACCGAAGTGATTATATCATATGCACACGGAGTTAGTAATAAACAGTATATATAAAAATAAAATATAAAAAAATATATTATAAATTGAATTTTTAAAAACTAAAATAATAAAATAAATACTAATAATCCTAATAGAGATCTCTATAATTTAATTGAATTCTTATCTCGAGAATATATATCACATGCTTCTAGCATGTTAAGTCCTTCTAGGACTTTAATACTAATATTATTTCAAATGAACAAATAAACTGTGATCACATTTATTATATATATGCATATGAATATTTTTCATATATTTTTTCGAGCTAATGAGATAATAAAATATGATTGCATCCATTATAGGAGAATATGTCTCTTCGTAGTCAATGTCGGTTCTTTACAAAAACTCTTGTGTTGAAAGTTTTGCTTTGTATCTTACAATCTCATCTTTCTTATTTCGTGTTTGCATAAATACACATTTGTATTCCACTAGCTTAACATCTTCGGGTGTTTTAGCTATGAGTTTAAAAAACTACTCTTTTGTAAGAGAACATAATTATGTTTGGATTGCTCTTTTCATTTAGACCAATCATCTTCGTATCGAATATTCTTCGATAAA